TAATTACAAAATTAATATATATAAAAAGGCTTAGTTTTAAATTTAATTTAAGAAAAAACTGCTTTGTAAGGTCTTGTGGATCCGCGTGGATTCTGAATCTATATACTTGAAAATATATATTCTAACATTTAGTTTTGCAAAAAAAAAAAAAAATTTTATATATCATCGAAGTTTCACAAATTTCCTATATAAAATGATCGGCATGATCGGCAGAATATTCTGGAATCGATTCCAAATTTAGAAATACCCCTGACTGAATTTATTTTTATATAAATATGCTTTAAATTTTAAGATAGTGAATAGCAATCTAAGTCTATTTTAGATTAGTTAATCTTATATAGTTTAGTTTAATATAAAAGATTTGTATAATACAGAATGCTAATAAAGGCAGTATTTAGTATTCATTTATTAATATATATTTAATAAACAATTATCTTATTTAACTCAATCTATAATCTGTTTATAAAACTTATAATTTCTGCTTATTATTATTATGCTTTTAACTTTTAAGCAACTTAAAGAACTGATCATAATAATATATAGTAAATTATATAATTTTTAATATATTTTTATTAATAAAATATTTATATATATAACCTTTGCAATAAAAAAGAAAAAACTACCAAAAATAAAAATGAGTTAATGTTAAATTTGAATATATTTGACTTGAAAATCATATTTAGCATATAAAAGTAAAATTAAATTTTTCTAGCAACTTTCATCTTTTTTATTACAAATGTCTCTATTATAAAATATTATAAATTAAATAAATTGCTATGTATTTATACATATAATTAAGAAATAAATTTTTTAATATTACAAATTTATATATGTAATTAAGCAAAAAAAAACTTTATAATATTACAAATTTTAAAATAATTAAAGTATATTATCTTTAATAATTTATATCAAATTTTTTATTAAATAAGAATTTTTTTCATAAACTTTGCTACTAAAAATTATACTGAATTTTATTTTTTTAGTATAACGATTCTATCAAGCTAATATATTTATTTATTATTAAATCAAATTTAGTATAAAAATGCTATAATAAGTATAAAAGTATAAAAATAAAAAATGTTGTCTAATAATTATAATTTATAAGCTAATTCCTATCAAACAAAGTGTCTTATTAAGTTTTGATAATAATTACTACTAAAATTATTATTACTAAACAAAAATATTTAACAGCTAGTTATTATTATATTAAAAATTATTTATGATTATATATATATATATATATATAATCTTTTACCAAAAATTTCTTCTTTATTAAATTAAATGAAAATAATTAATAATAAAGACTACTAATAAATAAGATTACCAATATAAATGCTTATATTATACTCAATATATATATCTTAATTACTACTAAATGATTTTCTTGAATGAAAAAAAATTGAGTAACACAAATAATGTGCCGACTTACAAACATTAAATTATTTAAATAAAACCAAAATTCTCGACAATAAAAAACTAAACAGTTCTCTCTTTTCCATGGCTATGTTTAATGATTTCCTTAGTTTTCTAATTGCAATCTGCATAATCGTATGGATAGTTAAAAAATTACGAGGTATAATTATTTTTCATTTTTAGAAACATGGGTTTTAACAAGCAAGCTTATTTAAAATTTGAAACACAGGTCAAACAGTTCAACCGGTTGTAGGAAATCGCAGAGGAAACGATGTAGCAAATGAAGTCCCTAGAGCTAGACTTAGGACAGTAACTCCCGACATGGTAAAATAATCTTCTTTATGAAGTTGAACTTTTTAAAGTTTATAAATTCGATTAACCATTTTCTATAATCAAAAGATTGAAACTGTATGTGCCATGTTCCCCAATATACCGCCCGCAGCGGTAAAGTATGACCTTCAGAAAACGGGTTCTGTTGAGGTTACTTGTGATAATATTCTTCAAAACGATGGTCTTCCTTTGGTAAATTTAAATTTTTTAATTAGTTTACGATCATTTTCATCTTACATTATATATTAATCTATTTTTTTCCCCTCAAGCCTCCGTCTTATGTAACAGCACCATTTGCGGTTCCTTCTGCAGCACAAGCATCCACATCGTCGACAGGAATAAATATATCCTCAACACAACAATCTCTCATTGAAAGATATAAACTTCAAGATGCCGTAAAGAGAGGGTTAGTCCCTTCCGAACCTCCAAAAAAATGGGAAGCTACAGCTGAAAAAAGACAAGAAATGTTGCAATGGAAAAAAGATGCGATGGTATTACAAGCAAGAGAGTACGTACTTTATAATTTATAATTTAGTAAATGCAATTTTTTTTTTTTTTACTAATATTTAATTTCTTATAATCATTATAGGCGATATCTTGAACAGCAAAAAAAAAAACAAAAGGAAGAGGTTGAGACGAGGGCAAAAAATAATTCAGATAATAGCACATCATTTCAATTACAACCTACAAATCAAACCAATTATAATAATAACGATAATGAAGAAGTTACTCTCGAGCCTGAAGTAAGACGTCGTCAAATATTACAAGCGACAGAACGGAGATGGAAAAAAGACGTGTAATCATTTTGGAAATATGATTTAGAATATCCTTAAAGAAATATTCCATATAATAATAGAATTTTTAATAATTTGTAAAAGAATAATAGTTAGTTTTGATTTTGAGACTATATTTTTTTTTAAATTTCACTTTATTAATATATATATATATAATATATATATTGATAGCAAAAATATATATTAAAAAAGAAAAACAAAAAAATATTATTAAAGAATTTTTATTAAAAAGAAAAAAATTAATAATAATATAAGTAATATAAATTAGTTCTTTTTCGTTTTATACTCTAATTTCATTTGGCTAAATCATAAAATGTTGACCAAATTTAGATGAAAATTCTTGCCATTTAAGGGATAAACTTTACGACGCTGCGCCAATACTCAAGATTTCGACACGTGGATTTGATTAGGTAAGTTAAATTGTTATACACGTGCCAACGATCAACTTGTCGAAACGAATCCGGAAGAGAAGAATAGTTCGATTGACTGATGATTTTAAGATTAGTTTTATTTTTTCGTATGGATCGATCAACTGGTGAAAATTACCTCCTTTTATATATTTTGAGCAGCTGGAAAGTTCGAGAAGAAATATACCGAACCCTCGTCCAAATGAAAGTTTTCTAACTATTTTTCTCTGGCTTTAAAATAAGAAACTTATTAAGAAAGCGTACTTACATACCAAAGCAGTTCTTCGTTAGAAAGATTCCGTCGAATAAATTCATCACATGTTCCGAACATAAAGTTTACGAGACTGCTGATCATCTCTTCTACCTGCGTTACCATAAAAACATAAAAATGTATATTTTATCAATAAAAATCACGTGATTATGAAATTTATGAAAAAAAGCTTGGGCATATGATAATATAAATAATCTGTCACGCCTCTTCTCTATGTTTCAAATTTTCTATATAATTTGAAAACTTGAATATGAAATCCTATTTGTCACTTAATATTTGTTACAGATATCATTCATATTTGTGATATAGAATTAGTATTAGTACAAATTTAAAGTTAAATTTATTAAAACTATTTAATTATTTCAAAACTAACTTTAATCTAAATCTAAATAATTTAAGAATGTATAGAATTTCATATGTTAATTAATTTAAATTTTTGAATTTATTAAAATTATATAAAATCTTATAGTTAAATTTTTACTGATATAGTTAAAAAAAAATTTATTATGTTAATCAATCAAAAAAAAAGCCTAAAAAAATTAAAATAAATTAAGAAAATCTATAAATATATAACAATTAGATAACTTGAGAAAAAGTTAATAGAAGAAATGTAAAAAATAGTATAGTTGATTTTTGATATAATGATTTGATTTTTAAAATCATAATGAATGTTTTAAAAAATTTAATTGGCTGATTCATTATAATAAGGTATATTTAATATATTTGATTAGTTAAATATTAAAAATTTGCTATATCAAGATTTGATTGTTAATATGAAAAAAAAATTAGAAGAAAATAAAATATTAAAAGAAAAAATAAAATAATAAAAATATATTCTTAAAAAAAAATAATTAATAAAATTTATATTAATATATAAGATTTATATAAATTTAGTATATTATTTATAATTTTAACTAACTTATACTTTTTTTTTATTTTTTTTTATCTTTTATAATTAGTTCAGAATATAAATGAAGAACTGTTTAGGTCTAACAATCATGAAGAAATAATCATATTATTGGTCAATCCTATTCAATTATTAAATAAATTATTTATATAATTTAAAGTATTTTTTTGAAATTGTAATGTTTCATATATAAAAAATAATAAATTTTTTATTTTAACTTCAAAATGTATTAAGATTTATTGTGTAAAACTATCTTAAGTTAATCTAAAATCTAAAGGTATTTTATTTAAAAACAAGTATTTATTATGTATAATTATTTAATATATTAAAAACATGATGAAAAATAGTAACTGAATATATTATTACAAAAGATCAAATTAATAATACTTTACCAAGTTATTTATAAATAAATAATATGATTTACTTAAACTATTATAATAAAATTGTGATAAATTACATATTTATATTTCAAAAATATATTCTAAAATTTTCTTCTCCTAATTCTAACTTTACCTCTTCTTTAGTTCTAATTCTAACTCTTTTTTTTAATTTTATCTTCACCTTTATTTTTATTGTTATCTTCACCTTCTATATTATTCTTTTTTAAAATAATAGAAAAAATTACTGATATTTTATATATTTATCAAAATAAGAGAAAAAATCAACAATATATTTATTTAATGAATTTGTGATTAAGATTGCTATACAAAATCTAGATTTAGATAAAAGTCTAAATGATAAAGGTAAAACTATATCAAAGCTTATAAAAATGGCAAAACTATATTAAACACTTAATAAAAATTTGATGAAACTAAAGATTTAAACGTTAACTAAATCCAAAATGAATTTAGACAAGCAACCTTAGATAATGAAAAAAAATGTATGATTAAAGTTATTTTTTAATAAATTATATCTTCTAATTTTTTGAAAAATGAAAATTCTTGAATTTAGATAAAAAACAGCTTCTATATATATGTTGCTTTCTTTGCAAAATTTATAATAAGTTTATTAATAATGTAAAGGAAAAATTAAAGATATTCTTAAATTATACTATAGTAATTGTCATCTATAATAACAATGATATTATATAATTTTAAACTTTATAAATCATAAACTAAGTAATATAAAAAAATTTTAAACAGATAAAATAATAGATCAACATGTTTTACATATTTTTATTAGTTTATTTTATAAAATTTATTAGAAATTTAAAGTGATATTATATTAAAAATTAATAATTTTAATAAGTGACTATAGTAATAATATAAAATTTCAGACTAATTTTATGGAATTTTTATAGAAATTCATAAAATTCTATGTAATCTAAAAAAAATAAGTTATACAATATAAATAAATGAAATTTTGAAATTTTGGATTATATTATTTATAATTGATAGCTACTATAATATTACAATATTTCTATAAATACTCTTACTGATCTAGGTATAATTATAATATCTTATACAATCATGTGATATAAATTCACTATATATAATAATTATATTAAAACTGTAAATTCTATATTTGTGAATTATACAAAGAAAGTAATAATATTAAATATTGATAATTATTATAGTAACTATATAAAATGAATACCAAACATAACTATTACTTCTATTGTAATATATCTGACAAAAATTTTAATAAATATAATTACTATACAATATATGATTTCAATATTACATACATAATTCTAAGTTAATTAATATTGAGTTAATAAAACTGAATCTAAAAATAGATTCATAATACTTTTTGGTTTTTCATATAACTAATATTATGATTTTATTTAGTTAATAATAATACTAAATTAGAAAAATTATCTGTTTATAATTATGATAATAAATTGAAAGAAAAATAAAATGCTTATTCAATAAAATATATTGTTCTTATACATTTACAAGAAAATAATCTCTATAGTTCACTATTTAGACAAAAGTAAATGAACTTTATATTTTGATATGTTTTTCAGAATTATATATAATAATTTATGCTAAAATTTTAACACATAATAACTTATGATCTATATAAATAATAATGTAAATATTACTTTTTTTATAAATAAATTTCAAATGTGATTAATAAAACTGAAACTTATACTACTTTATATTATGCTTGATTTAACTAAAGTTAAACATTCTCAAATTAATAACCTTTTTAAGAGTAATACCATAAAAGCATATATTATTAAAATGCTTGACTTTTGTAAAATAACAGTTTACTGAATTATTTAACTTTATCATAAAGAAAAAAGTTTTAAAATTTAGTCACGAAATAACTATCCAAAACTTTTAAATAATAAATACTAAAAGACACTAAAAAATATTGTTAAAAAAATAATTATGAATAAATCAAAAAACAAATTTCAAGAGAAACAATAATTTATTAAACTTTCATGAGACCTATAATAAGAAAATAATTATAAATCAAAATCAGAAAGTCTATTATTTTTTAATATTTGTATTATAATACAACAATAGGAATGGTTAATAATTAATTGTCTATTATTAAGATTAATTTATGCAATATTGTTTATCATTTTTCTAATTTTTATATAATTTATAGGTTTATCTTTAAAGCAATTACCCTTCCGTAAATCTTAATAAAATATACAAATAAATAAATATTAAAAAATAGCAAATAAATATGAATTATATATTAAATATACATATTTTTTGACTTTTACAAGTTTTATGAAATAGAAACTTTCATAATGAATTAGAAGATAGTAATTTAGATAAAAAAATATAAAAGAATATTTTTATAAGTGTATATTGATTACTAATAATATCAGAAAGTATAGCAATATAACATAAATTTATTTTTTATGTTTATTTCTATAAAAAATTCCATCTTGATTATTTTTTCTTATGTAAAATAAGTTTTAAACCTTTATTCTAACAGTATTCAAAGTCCTTTTTATAATTCTATATATTTTTTCATCATGCAAATCATATAATAAGCATAATCAGAAAAATACATAATGTATAAGTAACTCATTTGAATTAATATTCATATAAGAATGGTCAAGTATTTGTTTAATTCTTAAATAGATAATCCATCAGCTTTTTAAAATCACCTAATTTCATACTTTATAAAATTATCATTTTTTATTAATTATATGAAAAACACAAGAAAACTTGTAACAATTACAAATTTTTATTAGTTAAAAAATATTATGTTCTTCAAGATATCTATTTAATATATTATAACAATTATGAACAGATTTAACTTTATAATCAGAATCACCTTCCTTCTGCAACCATGTTATAAATTGATAAAGATAATTTTTAAGCTATTTAAAGAATTAATTAATTTAATATTTTACAACTATTATTAAAATAATCAATAACTCATAACTATTTAGAAGTATTTTGTTCAATATTAAAAACAAGTAATGCTTCTTGCAAATTATTTATTTCTTTTTGCATTAGAAATTGCAAAAAATTCATATTTTTATAGCAAAAAAAAATAAAAATAAAAAAAAGAGAGAAAGCATAAGAGAAATTTTCATTGAATAACTTATATAAAAATATTCAATACTTATATCAAACATATCCAATAAACTTATTATAAATTATTAATTATAATAATTGCATTAATTATTATTGTGATGATTGTCAATATATTTGATATTGTGAATTGTAATACTTTTCTTAATTAATAATTGCATATACCATCTTTACCCTATATTTAATTTATAAAGTAATAAAATTTTATTAAATAAAATAATTAAATAAGAGATAATTAGAAAAGAAAAAAATCTAAAATTTTTATCAAAATTTATTTTATTGAACCACTTGACTGATTCACAATCATATGTATAAAATTAGAATTAGCTTAACATTAATAATCAAAAATAGCAAAAATTTCCCCTTATATATTAACTTTCTTTTAAATAAAAATATATTTATCTTTTTAACATATCAAATATATATTAATAGAATATTAAATATATATATAAATTTTTAATATTATTAATTAATTAAAAAAAATATATAATTTATTATTTATATATTAAAAGTTTAAATTATATATGTATAATATTTAAAAAATAAATTTTATTTTGTATATTAACAATCGTTAAACATTAAATTAAAATATGTTAATTTCAAGGGCATTAATCGGATATCAAAATTCCGATTTGGAAATCTTCCATATAAAAATAAATTGTATAACCATATTCACTTGATAGTCATTATTACGATAACAATAATAAAATAGTAGACAGGAACCAAATTATTCTTGTATTGGAAGGTTTAGAACAAATCAAACTTCGGATTTAATGGCTTCAAAGATATTAGTTAAGGTCAAACTTTCATTCCATTCGAGAGTATTTTTCTCTAACATGAAATTGCCCTGTTGAAGTCTTTTTAATTGAACTACATGAGCGGCACTTCCAAGTTCTTTTCCTATATCGTGAATTAATGACCTAATATAAGTTCCGCTTCCACAATCGACGCGAATTTTAAAAATTGGATAAGATGCTTGTTCAACATATTTATTCTCCGTAATTGCAGCATCAGTTTTTGGAATCCGAAAATCATGATTTGTTGTAAAACCTAATAAAGACAAAGAATCGATTCTAATGGATCTAGCTTGTATCTTTCTTGGAAGAATTAATCCTTTACGTGCATAATCGTAAAGACGCCGACCATCTATTCTCAGAGCAGAATACCTTTAGTTTTTGATAATAAGTCAACTGTTTTCTTTGTAAAAAAAAGAAAAAATTATATCTATACATAATTGTAAATCCATAGGCAAGCTTACATTGGGGGAATTTGCATAATATCTCCTATGAATTTAGAAGTTAATTGAGAAATGTCTTCTTTGGTGATATGTTCTGTAGGCCCAGTTGCTATAATTTTCCCTTCAGAATCATAAGTATCAGTGGCGAATCCAAGCATCCCAACTGCTTCATATATCTGAAAATAAAATATAAATTAAATATATTTCATATAACTCATATTTCTAGGATTAAACAAAAAACCTTGTTGCATTTAATATATTCGTGCAGTCTTTTACACCCGTCGTTCACTCCAATTACTAGTACTCCACTTGCTAGAGGGTCTAAAGTTCCACCATGACCTAATTTTAATTTATTTCTGTGTGATAGTGCGAATTCTTTCCGTTGCAGACGATAAATCCTTTTAATTTTATCTAAAATGGTGACCGAAAGTGGGCCACTTGGCTTGTTTACTGCAAACAGACCGTTTGGGATCATATTTTTTTTTTTTAAAAAAAAAATTTGTCTAATCACATAATCACATGAATATAAAATGATTAAATGTTAATCAAAAATAATAATAAAAAAAAAAATAAAATAATAAAATATTTGTGCAAAAACGTTATGGCTTCTATGACTTCTGAAAATAAAAAAGTTACTATTACTGACGATTTGGACGATTTGGACGAACTCTTTGATGGTTAGTCTTCATGTTAAATACAAGCAGAATTCCATTCGGGTTTCCAAGTTAATAATCTTTAAGACCATTTTATCAGAGGTATTGGACGACTTTTCTTCACAGTCTACTTCAAATAAACTGTCTGGTTCTTCTGCATCAAAGTTTCCTTCAAATGCAACACCTGATAATAGGGGAGATCAAGTTGATCCACATACACAAGTGGACGATGAATATGCAAAACAACTTGCTGCTGATATGGAGGATTTTGTCAAAGAAATGGAGGACAATGAAGAATTAAGAATGGCAATGCAGGGATTTATGAAAAATATTGGTGATGTGGATGATAATTTTGTAAATAATTTAAATGGAACTAATGGGACTAGTGTTGAACGTAGTAACAATGATGGGAAGTCCACTACTGACTCCAAAGGAACCTCGTTCCAAGATAAAATCAATCAAACAATGAATAAGCTACAAAATAGTTCAGAACAACTTGATGTATGTATCAATGATGTTAAATGAAATTTATTATACCTTTTTTTTTTTAATTTATTTATAATTATATAATTTCATATGAAAAGGCTGAAATTACAGAGGGATCGAATGACTTAATGGAAGAGATGATGAAGCATTTAGAAAGTGTGGGTAATTTGCCTGGACTCGCAGAGAATGGCGACATGGAAGAAATTTTTAAAGGTGGAGAAGTGGAAAAAATGTTTGAAGTTATGATGGAAGCATTAGCGACAAAAGATTATTTATATGAGCCAATGAAAGAATTCGCGCAAAAGGTAGGAAATAGGTCATTTAATTTATATAAAAGCATTATATTCGTTATTTTTATTTTGTTTGAAAATTAACAACCAAAGATGTCTTCGCTGCATCCTTTTACTATTGTCATGGCGGCGTTGATTTTGTTAAGTACCCCAAATGGCTCGAGGAAAACAAAGGGAAGGTACCACCAGAAGACTATACGCGCTATGAAAAACAATCGGAATATATTCACAAGATCATCGAAAAATATGAAGCGCAGGATTTTGACGAAAACAATGAACAACAAAACAAAGTCATTATAAATTTAATGCAAGAGGTATAGGTAATAAATTATAATCTTTCCATTTATAATATTAAAAGGATTCGGTAAAGACAAAATTTATCAATATAGTTACAAGACTTCGGACAACCACCACCAGAAATTATAAACGAATTGGCACCGGGAATGGATCTCGATGAACAAGGAATGCCAAAATTGTCTGCAGCTGATTTATCTTCTTCATGTAAAACCATGTAAAATATTGGTAGAATTTGGTTTTTTTTGGATTAATAGTTGAATCTATACATATGATTTCTTTTATCCCGCAATTATCATTTAAATCAATTATAAATAATCATTTTGAATTTATTTATATTCGATTAAACAAAAAAACAAAAAAAAAAAAATATTTATTTGAATATCATAAATAATTAAGTAATTATATATATGTTTAGAATATAATAAATCATGCATGATTTTTTAATAAACAGAATTATTACTGAAACAGAATTTATATTAATCAAAAGGTAATATTAAACTCGGTTTTTATGAAGTATTTTTATAATTAAAATCGCAAGTTTTGGTATAAAATCTGAACTTTGAATTAGACATATACTACTTTTTTAAAAACTAATGTCTGTTAACTGACATTAGTTTTTAAAAAAGTAGTATAAATAAGTTTATTACTGTAATGAATTTAACAATTTATTTTAATAATTATAAAAAAATATTATTTAAAGTAATTATATTAATTCTTATTAATAATCTATAAAATTTAAAATAATAACAAATCTTTTAAAAATAAAGAAAAATTTAAAAAAATCTATAAATTTAATAAAAATTAAAACTATATTAAGAAAACATAATTAATTAAATGAAAGCTATATACATATTTTAATAAATTTAAATAATATAAATTTTTAATTTTTAATTTTTTAAATAATTATTTTAATTTAATCAAAAAATAATTATTAATTATATATATATATAATATATATTTTGATATAATAATAAGTAAAATTATATTAATATATATATATGTATTTTTAATTAAAAATATATATTATTAATAAAATTTATATAAAAAAATAAAAGCTAATTTAAATGAAATTATTTATATAATAATTTATAATTATTAATTTAATATTAATTTAGAATTTAATCTTTAAATAAAAAATATAAATTAAATAATTAAAATTTATTTAAATAAATTAATTTTATTATTTGCAAATAATAAAAAAAAATATTATCTTAATTTTATTTATTAAAAATCAGATTAATTTATTATAAGTTAGATTACTAATAAATTACAACTAAATATAATTGAATATAACAAAATATTTTATAATAAAATAACTATAAAATATTATAAATAAATTTAGTCAATTGTAACTAAAAAATTTTATGATCAAAAAATTAATTATAATAAAAAAATAAACAAACTTAAAATTATATATAAGAATATATATATTATTTTTTAAATTTTTTAAATCTAAATAATATATAATTAAAACAATTATAAAATTTAATTAATTTATAATCATAATTTTATTTTTAATAAATTTGATTAGCATTTTATTTATAATTATATTATAATATTTTAAATTATATATTTTTTTGTAAAATAATATATCTAGTATTATTATTAAAATAATTAAATAAAACTTATAAATTACATTTTATAAATAAAATAAATTCTCAAATTATTCTATATTATTTTTATACAAAATCTTTTACTTTATAATAAAACTGATATTATTTTATTAAAGGAAATATATTATTACTCTTATTCAAAAAAAAATATTTAAATTATAATTAATTTTTATAAAATATAAATCATTTTTTTATAATGAGAATTAACAAATAAGTTGTTTTAATATTATTTAAAATCAGGATATTTAAGGATTCTTATAAGAAACTTATATAATTATATAAATATTTTAATGTTATTTAAAATTCAAAACAAGTTAATTCTCAATAAAATCTTAGTATCTCTTTAAATATATCAAATATAATTCAATGTTTATTAAAAAAATAAATGTCTTATAATTAAAATTAAAATAAAATTAGAATAATAATAAAATTACAAAGAAATTAAGTTTACTTTTAAAGAAATATAAAATATTCAAAAAAGTTTTTTACAAGATATTGTAATTAGATTATATAAGATTAAAAAATAAATTTATGATTTTTGTTTAAATAGAAGGAAATTGTATTAAAATAATTCAATTTATCTTTATAATCATAATACATTAAGCTAAATTTTAAGTTTAATAAAATTTTATAATGATATGAGTAGGGTTTAGAAATTATATTATACTATGTTAGTATATTAATTATTATTGTAATACTAATATTTATATTATAATGTTAATAAAATTTAGTATATAATTAAAAATGATTATTATAACTGATTTGAAAATTTTGCAATTCCTAAAAAAAGTCACAACCTGGTAGTTGTAGACCCATTTTATTTTTTTTATAGATTTGATTATTATTTATTTATAAATTAATACATTATTAAAAAATGAAATTGTATTGAAAAATAATAGATTTATTAAAAAAAATTGTAAGTTAATTAAAAAATTTAGATTAAAAATTATTACTATTTAGCGTTAGGGAATAATAAAAAGAAATTTTTTTTTTAAATAATTTAATATTAAGCTATAATAAAATTAATTTTAGGTTTAAATAAAATATTATAGTTTTTTTATCAGATAGAGTTAATTAATTAGGAATTTAAAATCTAAAAAGTTTTAATTTTAACAAGACAAAGAAAAATTGCAGGAAATAATAACCTGTAATAATAATGAACAAATTTTTTCATAAAAAAAGGTTAAGTAACAAAGTTATCTTTAGATCTATAGAGAAGATAATGAAATTCGTAATAAAAGAGATCCACTTCATGTTATTTTAAATAGTCGATTAATTGAAGTTGGTTCTGATATTCTTTCAAAAAGTAATGGATCATTTACTAATATAAATAAAAATAGTACATTAGTATTATAACAACTAAATAAAATATTAGCAAAAAAAATTATACCCTAAAAACTGATTAAATATGTCGAGTTAAAATTCAGTTAGTTTTATCAACAATTCTGAATAGTAAAGCTATCACGCTAAACTACATAAAGTTAAAATCAGATATTAATTATCTAAAATAGGGACCAATAACTTTACACGAAAAAATCCTATTATGGTATACAAATATCTAAGATTTTAAGAGGGGTCTTGTTCTTGTTTTTACAGAGTGTAATGGTGAGATAGTGTGCTTTGAGCATCTTTTAATTAGGTCTAATAACATGTGCTATATAGAACATCTGTAAAATCTGGTGATAAAAGAGAGATTCTAAATGCTAAATAATTAATATATGAATAAGCATTGCTTTCATTAAATATTATTAAATTGTAGTACAAAACAAAACAAAATTTATGTACCCGTTTACCTAGTAGAATAGCTTTGGTTTATTTATCAATTTAAATGAAAGAAAAGAATTGTACTTGTATTCTAATAAAAAAATTTTTTTTAATTTTTTGTATACAGTATCTTCATATTTAATTAGAAGTGAGATAAATATGTTTGGAATGAGAAAACGAGCTATGATGACTATAAAATTATATAACTTCATTATCTATCAGGGTTCCGCATAGACATGATTATATACGAAGTATTAAATTTATAAAAAGCTAACTTCTTTGATGAATTACGAGCAATAAGAAAAGGTTTAATATAAAGATGCTAATATATCCTTCAAGGCGTAATAATAAATCGTTCCTTTAATTTCAACTGTTTTATTTATCTTATTATTCACATTCACTATCCACCCATTTTAAAAAGCTTTCGATATTTGAATCTTGACCATCGAAATCGAGTTGGACAAATTTTCTTGCCACTTGTTCGCAAGTAGCATATTCCCGACGTTCGCGATCATCACCGAAAGGTGGTGGAATAGATTCGTATCGGGCAAAAAGTTGTGATAAATATGAAGCTACATATACATATATCAATGAGTGATGAACATAACTTTACATAATATAATGAATAAATGATTTCACCTCTTTTAACTACATGAGAAGGTACTCCTGCAAGAGTTGCACAAAATGTTCCCCAAGAAGAAATGCTGCGGCCTGGCACAAGACTGAAATTTATTATTAGAATTGCATTTATTATGTAATTAATTGACAATATCATACCGGTATAGGAATGTTAATTCTTCTTGCTCATCATCTTTCATGATTTCCATAGTATTCAATGAAATAGGTAAGGTTTGAGGGAGGAGATTATTTTCAAATATTTCTGATTTAAATAAATAAATGTTCTAGAAAACTCGAAATTAAGCCTAAATTTAATATCAACTTAACAATGATTTGTAAAATAAATAAACCATGAAAATGCGTTGCGGCAATAACTTTCGGACAATCTCTTCCAAGACTTAATAAATGTTCTATTACTCCACAAAACAAACCCGCTCCATCTAGTAACGTAAAATTTTGTTTTTAAATATCATACTTATTATATTGATGATATTTATTATAACCATCAAGTTATTGTAAAACATTACCTGTCGAACCTGTTCCTTTTCCAAATTCATCGAATATCAACAATGACCTTGATGTTGAATTACGAAGTGCGATTGATATTTGTTGCAAGTCTATCATAAACGCGCTTTGAATCTATGTATATACAGTAAATTAGTTTAAATTTAGAAAACTATCAAAATCAAGCGTTTACAATTTACCTTGGATACAGTTTCTCTTGTCTGAACGCGAGTAAAAATTTTGTCAGTTAAACCAATAGTAGCTGAATCTGCTGGTACGAAACTTATAATGAAATATCAAGTTTTTTCATTTTTTTCATGTCAGGTTAAATTTATCATTATTCTTTCTAATTTATTTTACCTTCCAATATGTGCCATATAAGTTATTAACGCAACTTGTTTCAAATATACACTTTTACCAGAGAAATTAGCACCACTAAGTAGCATCACGCTTTTATGTGCGACTTTTTCAGAGTTCGTCGTAGTATCATCTGTCATATAATCATCTTCATTTATAATACCATTTCCTCCAGCAATTTTTGTGTCATTGGCTACAAAAACATCGACACAAAGTTCTTGTAAAGGATGCCTTGTGAATTAAAGTGTATTATTTAATTGAATTAAATTTTACAATATGCATCCTATCCTTTTTAATTACCTTCCTTTCTCGATCTCTAGAATATTCTCATTCACTACATGAGGTCGACGATATTTGTATTTTCTTGCACATTCCGTTAGCGAAAGTAAACTAATAAAATATGTTAGTTACCACTTTATATATGCTTTTCATTTAACTGATGATAATTATCAATATTCTTACCAGTCAAGCTCTGCACAAACTGCTGTAGCGTTCAATAATAATGGGGCATATTCTAATGTATGATCTTGAAGCTTTTGCATTATTTCAATTTCTCGACCTATTTTTTTTAAAAAAAATTATTGATTAGATAACATTAAAACATTTGACAATTCTGTTAAATCAAATTATATTATTATTCGCAAACTTTACCAACAATATGTATATGTATATCTCCCAAAAAATCGTCGAGTTCTAATAATTTACAATTTTTAAGATAAATTTATCAAGATTTAAATATCTTGTTTATAAAATATCACCTTCCGTTCTCTTATTTTTGTAATAGACGGTTGTAGCCGTACAGAACTATAAAAACAATTTTTTATCGGTTAAAAATAATAGTTTGTCTACTATTCAGAAATAAAGACTTTACTTGATAAGTTAATCCATTAATTTTAAAATCTTCTTCTTCTTTCCATTCGGGTTTCAATGGGACTGTAACGAGATATCCCAATTGTGGGAAATATATTACATTCAGCGTGGATGAAAATTCAATGGGTATAGTTGTGCTAATTTCGCGTGCAACTTCAGACTTTATTCAAAAATTAATTAGAATATCAACAATGACGAGTGATGTAAATTGTATTTTTATTCAGAAACTTACCAAAAAATCATCCAATCCGTCGTAAACTCTTTTTTTATCATCAAGTAGCTGTTTTTTATTTTGGTTTTAATATTCGTAAAAGAAAACCCACCCCCGATATCACATCTTACCTCGTCGATATGTGGTTTGATTACTATCCTATTTTCTTTGATACTCTCATCGAAATCAATCTATTATGATATAAATAAATATATTATTTGATTTTTATCTTTGGTAATATCTTTTTATGGATTTACCACATCATTTATATATGATCCAATGTCTTTCAATTCGGATACTATGAATGTTTCTTTAATCTATGTATAAAGAGCAAAGATTCTTTAATAACATACCAATTAATGTTTGTGATTATATAATATACCATACCTTTGTAAATATTGGTATATTTTCGCTTTGATTTGATTCACGTACGATATCACGTATTTTTAGGCAATAAAAGGCAAACTATCATAATTATTGTCATTTATTTGTTGCAATCGCAATGTATCAATGCAAATTGGGAAAAAAAAGATCCAACCTGTAACAAGGATTGCCAATCTTTGATATTAACATTCCTTTTCATATTATCTATAATTTTTGGAATATTCTTTATATTTTTAAGACAAGAAACCAATTGTTCTGCATATTCCAAATTGCCTGGTCGTAAAAAACATTCGATAGTATGCTGTCTTTCGTCAATGACAGTTAGATCAAGAGTTGGTCTCAGAAACCATTGCTTAAACAGTTTCTTTCCAAGTGAAGTCCGTGTATTATTGAGGATGCCTTTTGGATGACATCATAGCTGGTATAGTAAATATATATATTTTTATTATAAATTCCATAAGATCCTACCAAAAAGAGATAATCCTTCTTTGCCCTTCACTTGCATATGCATGTTTGGATGCGATTCATCTTCAAAGATTTGAAGCGAGCTAAAAAAATTAAGAAAATTTTAATGTTTCATTATCAAATTGTATCAAACGAAATGTATAAATACCACAAGGCGTCTGAATTTATATGCAAGAATCGTTTCCTATTTAAACTTCAAAATATAATACCGTTCAAGCATATTAAGATTAAACTAAACATTATTATTCTTACAAAGAGAATTGCTCAATTCCTGAGACTTCTACTTCTTGTAATCCACCTGATATGTTGGTTCTTGAAATATAACCTATTAGCGCCCCAGCACAGCATATCTTTATATTCAAAAAATGATTAAATGTTATTACTTTATATTAAGTTCAATTATTTTAAAGGATAAATACTTAACTGTTTCAACACTTTCCATATTTAAAATACTTGCCAATTTAAGGTACATCTCTCTCTTATCGGATTCAAGAATTGAATTCACATGGTTTTGGACGCCAAAACGAATCGATAATAATTTCGACTTTGCTGAAACATAGAAGAATTCAGCGCTAGGTCGAATAACGAGATCAGTTTCAAAGGGAATAGAATCATCTAATTTTATGTTAAATTACGAGTAAATAAATGTGATGGAATAATCTTAAATATAAATTTTAAAACCTTGCGTTTTTAGAACTTCGACAAAATCATCATCCGCACAAGAATTAGTTATGATAACCGAAGGTTGAATTTGATATCGTACTATAATAATTAATAAAATCAATTTATTTGCATTTTATTCTATGGTAGAATTGCTCAAGACTTACATAAATTTAATAAATCGTATGGCGGGGATTCTTCCATGTCTTCCATAAGATATAATTTGCAAGTTTCCGAATTGTAATAAGCACATCCCAGTTTACGTTGTTTGTGATTTATCGCCATAATAATCTTTTGATTTTCGATTAGAACAAAAGAACAAAAAAAAATTCTCGTGATTTACACAACATATCTACCTTTTCAACTTCTTGATCCTTAGTTGTTTCTTCGTCATTTTGCGATTGTTCTTCGCTCGTCCTACGATGATTCCCATTGTTTTTCCTATTCGATTTAATGATTTTTGCCTGGTTGAATTCTCGTCGTTCAGAGCGTATAGAAATATTTGAATTTATTTCGACAGGCCAAGAAGGAGTAGAGTGTCGTGAATCAACCGGCGAACAAGAAGAATTTGTATTATGATTTTCAATAAAGGTTTGAAGTTTAGGAGTTGATAATCTTGAATAACTGCTAGATGAGGCAGCATACGACGAATTTATAGATTTGAAAGGAGATCGAGAATTATTGTTAAAATCTGAAGATATAGATTTCGATTGTGTATCATGACTTTTAATATTGGAACTAAATTGAATATTTAATGTTTCCACTTCTTCCATGTTATTAAATTCTATATCATTTTTCGAAGTAATATCATTATTTTCATCATCGGTCTCAGGATGGAAGTTTTCCCTTGAAGATTTATACAGGAAACTCTCCTCATATTCACTTTCTTGTATGTTATTTGATTGGAGCAATTCTTCATTTGTATTTTTACTTGTATTTGCCATTTTGATAAGGTTTGTATTCAAAAGAAAATAAATTCAATATTCAACCGCTATTTATATCATTATTTTATTTAAAATAAATTAATTTATGCTCAGACTTCTGATAAGCTTCCATATTCGGATGATAAAAGTAGTCTATTTATTGAACGTGTTTTGACATAAACTTTAAACCAGTTGATTGATTTATAAGTCAATTAAATTTTTTGCCGAATAAATATCCCTTGTCGTTTTTAAGGAGTTAAAATAATTCTTTCATTTTACAATAAATTATATATTATGATTTTTAAATAAAAAAAACTTTACTTTTTTTATTCAAAGAATAATTTATAAATTTAAAGTTTTTTTTTTCACAAAACAAAAATGTTATTTATCAATATACTCTTAAATTTATCTCGATTATTTTTACATGTAGGGATCCAATTTTTTTATAATTTAGCTTATCGGAAAGCTCTGAAGCAATAAACATACAATAATCTTAAATTCGAAAAATATGACGTAGTATAACATAAGTTATTTACATTGAAAAGTTATCAACACATTCTTGTATTTTAGCTTGTTAGAAAGCTCTAAAGATGACAAATGTAATGGCACTAAGTTGAAGAAATCGGCGCAGTAGATCACGTGTTACTCGTTGCGGCATTTTACATTTTTTTTAAAAGTTAGAATATAATTATAAAAAAAATGTTTTTAAATTATTATTTAAACTTACTAATTTATAAAATACGTTAAATTATATATAATATATAAATTTCAAGCCTATAGATAGAACTACTCTGATGTAAATAAATAATTTAACTTTTAACATTTATAAAATTTTGCTTATTTTCATAATATCCATTATTCGCTTATCTAACAACTATATTACTATATGAAATTTTATATAAAATTTTGTGCCAAACATCTACATCTTTGAAAATTCCTTCTAAATTTGCATGGAATTTACCATTTAAGGGATAGTATTATTAGCAAATGGCAAAAGTCGTATTTTATTAAATAAATAGCTTTGACTTTCGACAGTTTCGATATTATTGTTTCGACGATATCGAAACTTAAAGTTTATGCCCGCAAATTTTATAGCCAAGAAGACTTTTATAATCGCTATCAACAAATTAGGCACGACTGTAATTGTCGATTTCGTTATTATTCTTTTTATAACCGACTTTTTCTTTTTTCTTGTATAGTCATTTTTATTATCTGAATTAATATCATTTTGATCTTATCATTATTATTTGAGCAGAGAATATTGAAAACAACTTTTTTTTCCAAAATTAGCTCATTAGGTGATGAAACGTTTTTGGTGGACGGAATTTCGGTTTGCAAGTAATATATAATTTATTACAGTTTTCATTTCATCGAAAAATTCCTTAAAGTTAGAAATTAATATGCGCAGTTGTTGATTTGGGCAAAAGTATTGTTAACAAGTGCAAAAGACAATAATCACATAATAATTTATTTTGTTTATATTGTTACATAATCCCAAAATAATCCCTCTTATCACACCACCCGCTATAATTTATAAGATTACACACTCATAAAGAAGGACTAGACTACATGGTGCAAATCGACCCCTATCCGAAGACATGGGGACAGAGTCAGCCTATAACCATCGCCCCCCTCCACAAGAGGGAGTCTAAACACCCACAAAAGTGAATGCAAACTGAGGAATCGACAAATGAATTCTATCCTTATTTATATTAAAAAATGAAAATTTTGAAATTGTGGGATTCATAGATCTTCATAGTATACACTATTTATGGAAATATATGGATGATCATCTATGAAATCAAATTACTGGACAGACGTAACGTGATTTTAGTAATTTTAATAGCCAATAACATATGGAAATAAAATCACATTACGGATCATATGATTTACTATGTCTCTTTTACTGAAAACATTCCCATATATATATTCGTTTTTATGGCAATTTTTAATTTTGTCATTTTTTCATTTTATTTTTTTCCAAAATGGGTAAACCTTCAAATTCTCGCGCAGTTACGATAACATTCGTTTACGACAACGAAAAAACTAGAAAGATTTTATTATGCCAAAAAAATAAAAAAAAGGAAGAAGAGATCGGTGACTTGCAAGTCGAAATTCAAAATTACAAAAATTTATTAAAGGCGCCGGAGAAAAAGTTTATGATGAGTTAAATAAATCTCAACATGAACAAAATAATTTATTAAAGTGGATCGATGTCTATACTGAACAAATAATGTGATTATTTTACTAAAAATTGACTCCACTTCTTTCTTTTCCTAGTCGATCGATACGTCATGTATTTCATTTTGATCGTTGAAATCATTATTAATGCGTTATCATCCGGATGTGGAAGGAATTATTTTATCATCTGGTTGAAAGATATTCAAAGGAAGTTGAAGAATATAAAACTTCCTGGATTACTCATAGACTTTTCGCAAGAAAAGCTTTAAAAGAAAATTAATTTATGGTAAAATTATTTATGGTTCCGTTATGGAAAAAAAAGCAACGATATTAAAAAATTTTTTAATTATGCTGTTCTCTTTTCACATACCGATGGCTTATAATCAACAAATCAAGAAGTTCAACGATTGGTTTAAAAATGGGAATTTCGTTGTCTCAATTTTTATTTATCTAGCCATTAGATACATTAGATAAGAGTTTCAGATCATTTATATTATATATACACGTTAAATTATATGATGATTCTCAAAATTATAATTTTTCCTACTTGAAGAATTTTTAATGCATGAATTGAGTGAGGCATGAGAAAAAAATAATTATTTTTACAACTCGCAAAAACCATAGATTTTATAGATTTAACGCGAAATAATTAAAAGTTGAATAAAATAACTAAAAGATGGTTAAAAAAAAAAATTTAAATTAAATTAAATGATTTAATAAAGGAATCAATAATTTCACCCTGATTTCTACTGATTTCAAAATTGATATATCAAGCTACTTCAAAAACATACAAAATCTCAACAAGACGAACGTTTATCTTCCATACAATCCTCAACACGATTCTGCTTTAAACAATTTATCCAATGCAAATACTGTACAGGATATTGCATCATTCACTTTTAATGGAAATCAACCGCCTCCGCAAATTATTATTCCCAATCATAACTTTCACCTAATTCGTACTCGATTAACAATTCAACTAATTCAAGAGTTGTTATGGCCAAATTTTCATACTTCTATAAGCCACGCAATGACTTTCGAATGTATCATATTAATTGTGAGGAAATACAATTATCTTTTGAAACTTTCTCACAGCTGATAAATAATATACTGAAAAAACTCTACTTACAATATTTTTGTATTCTATCACGAACAACCGAAAGTAAAAAAATCTACAAATTAACTTGTGAAATGATTGTCACACACGTATTTTAAACATGATATCGAATTCAATCAAATCGAACAACAACAGCAGGAACTTTCTAAATAACACCAAGAAAATCTTAAAAATCACGTAAAAAATGTTTGTTTCATTATTTTGTATCAAATCAAATTCGAAATCAAAATTATATTTATCCAATAATTTTATTCAAGAATATCGTGTTTACGTAAATATGTTAGGTTCCAATACAATCACGGGTAATACAAAACCTCCCATCAATCCTTTACTTCTCAACCGGATATGTGAATAACGTTAGTGATCACGGTTGTTTTAAATTCATGTATATTTTTACTAGGGATGGGTTAGTCCTGGCAAAACCGGTCCGCAAATCGGTTAATGAACCGGTCCACAAGGTCTTCAGTCCGTGATCTAGAGACCGGTCTGAACCGGTTTATATTATACATTCAACAAAAATGACAAATTTGGAGTGTATTTCG